TGTGTGTGTGTGTGTGTGTGTGTGTGGCCAGCTCAGCCCACCAGGGGGCGGGGCTGGCTGGCATGTGGTGCTGGGGGATTGAAATGTCGTCCCTGGGCTTCGCTAAGCTTGTTCCAAGAAGGCGCTTTAGACCACTGAGCCATCTCACCAGCCCCTAATACAGTATTTTTAGGATGCCCATGATATGATTGCAACCCATGGCATGAGGGAGGGCAAGTGTGTGCAATTTTCCACTTACAGCATTTTATTGGTAGTTGGAAAGTTTCAGACTTTGAAGGATTTCAGAATTTCTGATAGGGATGCTCAGCCTACATTACATTGAATGAGTACAAAATGGGTCTGTTTTTTTTCCTTTTGTCAAGGACTCATTGTCAGAATTAACATAGTACCGTTGAGGATGAATCTGGGTTATGAGTGGTTTTGGAATACTGTTCAAGTAAAATTGAGTAAACACAATTTTCATCACTAAAATTTAAAAGAAGGTAGGTTTCTTGAATGTAAAATGAGGGAGTTAGAGCTAATTATGTCAAGATGGTGAGAACTGGTAGAGCAAACATTCTTAGGCAAGTCTGTACACATAATGTGAGTACATAATACCCTCAGCTGTCTCAGCTGCTGTTTTGCTTCCAAGTAACTCATCTTTGTTAGAATGCTCGATATCAACAGCCAATTTAACATAGCCTGGAGAAAAACTCACAGCTGGTTAATTTTTCCTTGAAGGAATCTTTTTCTTTTCTCTATTTTGAGGTATTCTCTTGAAACACATTGAGCTGCCCAGTCTGTGAAAAGTCTGTAAACGGAATGCCCCTTTTCTCTTTAGTATTAGTATAAGTCTTGAGCCTATTTTTCCAGTGGGATAGGTTTACAAGGCTTCTGTGTAAATCTTTGAAAAAGGAGATCTGGCTTTCCTTGATGTTGTGGCATTTGGAGGAATCTAAGCAATGAGGAATTGGCATTGGTTCTTGATTCTCCAATGTGAATCTCAAGCAGCAGTAATGTGTAAGGTAAAAGGAAGAGAATAGTTGAGGAGGGCATCTCTCTAGAGATGAGAATCTTCTGTTTTTGAAGTTTTATCCACCTAAGATAAATAAAAATATGTGAAGTGTTAAGATTTAATGGCTCTCAATGGGAAGGGTATAGAAAAATTTGCATGTAAAGTTTGGTTCAGTTCTTCCTTATGAAGCAAAATAACAGCTTGTTTTGCATCTGTGACCAGAGCCGTCTGTTTTTCTCTTAGGATCATTAAATATACCA